AAAAGATATAACATATTATGTATGTATGTGTGATAGATAGAAAAGAGTATAAGATACTCTAATGTTAAAAATAAATTTGTTAAAATTAATTGAAAAAAAGACCGTAAGTATTTAAGAATAATACGAATAAAATTTTAACCTTTAAAATTTGAAAAAAGCATAGGTAAAATAAAATAAAATCATCATAATAAAAAGAGTATAATTTATAAATTTTTTAAATAGTAAATATATGTATAGAAAATTATAAGAGAGTAACTCTAATGAATGTTTCTCTTTTCAAATGATATACTCTTGTTTGTATTACAAAGTTTGATTTATAAAAAGATAAATAATTTGAATAAATTTTACAGAAAAATAATATGAAAGGTAATGATTACTAACAATCTAATTTATCATAATTATTATCTACGAAGTTGGCATATATATTGTTCAATTTATAATTTTCAACAACATTATTATTTTCATATTTTTTGTCATTTATTCGGCTAGCAATAGTCTCACCTTATTGTGCATCGTGGGAGTTTATCATTCTTAGGTTGTTACTTCCAGCTTAACGTGCCAGTTCCTGACTTCCCATGTGCCGCCCAAATTGAATTGTCAATCAGTAACATAATAATTTATGGGTTTTGTTAATAAAGGCTAAGTTTAAGCATCTTTTTATTAACAAAAACATATATATTTGTTATATTAAAAGTTAAAAAATGTAATAAATACTTTTTTTACTAAAAATTTACCATTATTAATTGTTTATTGCCAATTCTAATTTAAACAATTGTTTATAACAAATCATGCCCACATTTTTTAAAATAATAAAATAGAAATATATTAATATATATTTTATTAATATTTTTTATCCCAAACAAGAAATTACTGGAATAATAGTGAATTAATGTTGTAATTCATACCTTCTCAATATAATCAATTTTGAATTATTTTTAAATAAAAAAGTATTAAAATTTAAAAATCATTTTATAAATTTATATCACTATTATACAATATACTCAATTTATATTTTTAAAACAAAAATGAAATATTATTTCATATTTTTATTAAAATTTAATCAGTTAAATAAAAATATTTTAAATTTTATTTTCAATATATTCTACTAATTTAAATACTTAAGTGGTATAATACTACAAATCTTTCTAATTATTGCTAATATTATCAAATTTTATTAAAAATAATACAAATAAGATAAAAATTAAATAAAAATATATATTTTATAGTTTAATCTGCCAAAAATGTTAAATAGATTAGATGATGTTATATTTATAACAAATCTTAATCAAGATCACATTTTTTAATAATAAAATAAAAAATTCAAATATCATGTTTGAATTATTTCTATATTGAAGAACTATTAAAATAAAAAATTTATTTTACAATATATATCACTATTAGTCAATACTGGCTTTAGATTATTTTATAATAAAAATTAAATAATTGCAATTTACTCACTTAAATAAAAAATATTTTAAACCTTTTTGAAATATCTTACTAATTTAAATACTAAACTGGTATAATAATATGGATCTTTTAAATTATTGTTAATATTAACATGTTTTATTAAAAATAATTCAAATAAAATTAAAAATAAATAAATATGTTGTTTACTTATTTTTCTATCAAACATAAAAAAATATATTAAATAATATTATTTTAAAATTTTTAAACTTAATTCATATTTAAATTGTATCTAAGTTTTATTTTAATTTTTATTATCTTGAAGTTATTCAAAATCATTAATAGTATATATTAGTTATAATTATTTATTATATATGTTATTTGATTTATTTTTTTACTATATGATTTTATATACTGATTGCTTGTTATTTTTATATATATATATATATATATATATATGAAGAGATGTATGATATTATATAAAGTTGGATGCAAATATTTTATATGATAAAAGAGTATGTGAATTTCTTGAATTTTCATTTAGTGATTTTGAGGAAGGAATGTCACTTTATTAGTCTCAACAAATCATATCTAAGCACTTGATCATAAATAGGATAAAAGAGACTATGTTCTTTGAAAATATCATGAAAAAATGACTAGTGAATCTCATGAAGACAATATTGTAATGAAAGAAATTATGATATGTTACATCATCTCAAAAGTGCCATTAATATTGAGAGCATGATAGAAAGCAAGAAAACTAATTATGCTACCAACCTAAATATCAATAAAATGAATGAATAAGTTGATAATTTTTTGGTTGACAAAAACATTTCTAAAAGGTTATTAATAAAGTTCTTAAGTCTTATTATAAGGCTCAAGAAAAATTATTCATGAACTAAGGGTTAATTACACAAAAATATATGTTTATTTCCATGATTGCATAATCAAGTCAGTTATTTAAAATCTATGTCTTGTCCGACTTGTGGTGATACTTAATATAAATAGTTAAATACAAAGAAAACCAATCATACCCTAGATTGTTAATGGGAAATAATATAGTTGAACAATATCAATATTTTGATCAAGTAAGTATTTGAAATTTTTTTTTATAAAATGATAGTACTATGGTAAGATTTTGACATATTTTTTCTTTATAATAACAAATAATTATTTTAAAATTTAAAATCAAAAGATAAAATTAAAACTAAGATAAATTTTTTAATAGTTGTTTTTTTTTTCTGCTTTTAGTTTTGTTGTAACTTTTGACATCAAAAAATGATGATCTAAGTTATAAATATAATTGGTATAAGTTTTGTTGTTCTTTAACAAGATGCTTTGAGTATAATTCGTGATCTTTGTATTGACTTCATGAAAAAGAATTAAAAAGATTATATGTAAAGTTAAGAAAGATTAAATACATTTATTTTAGTGAAAATGTATAGACTTTGAGATGAAATAAATATTTTTAAAAATATATACACAAGTTGATCCTAAAATGGTCAATAAAATTGATTATTAAATTTACTTAAAATTAATTCTAAGATATAACTCAATATATCTATATCTATATATGTTTGTATACTTTAAAATATGGATTTTTATGAACATTTAAAAGCATTGAGTTTTATTGTTATTATCACGCATATAATTCCCAACACTAATGTTCATTTATATGATATAATGAGGCTACAAAATCATAATGTGAAGTTGGAGATTCCTTGATTTAACAAAATAGATGCTACAATATGGATTTTCAATATAAAACAAATATATTTGATAATTATCATACACAAAAGAGGAATAGTTCTTTCTACCGGAATAGTTCAACACTCTCATAGTTCATTGAATTATTTTATTTAGGGTTGTGGTATGATATTCAGCCTAAATTGTTGCCCTACAACCAATTTTCTTCACCCAAGCTATGCAACTAGTTAAATTGCAAAAAGAGAAGAGGAAGGTTAGTAACACACACTCTAATATATTCTCCACTTTTAGTTAAAATTTATTAAAAATTAAAAAAAATATTAATTTAAGAGTGAGAAAGAATGAGACTTGCATGATTTTGTAGTCTTTAATAAATATTAGTCAATATTAAAGAGTGTGTTAGAGAATATATTGCTAGCATTACTTAATGAAAATTTTGAACAGCATTATCAAGGAAAATCAATCCAAATTTTCATAGAGAGATCCTTTGTTTACTTTTTACTTAAATAATTGCCTTTTAGACCACAAAAACCATTATTGCCTTGCTTTGACTTTCAATCAGAGATCTTAGTTTAAGAGGTTGTCTATTGTCGAAGTGGTAACAATATGCAAGAAAAGATTATGTTATAACTATTATATGTTAAAATATTTAATGATAACAATATTGAGTCCATAATTTAAAAGATACAAAATATACTATTTTCTTTATTAATTTGTTAAAAAAATAAAGTTAAATGCATCTATCTATCATTAGATTATTAGGGTGCTTTATTATCCTTTTTAAAATAGAGAAGTTGATATTGTTGATATTGAGAGCATAGAAAACTGCTCTATATCTAATGAACAAAAGAATAGAAAGTGTTAGTTATTTAACTAGGAAATAATTACTAAACTCACTAATGAGACTAAGAACCTCTATCAAACATTAAATGGTTAAATAGTTTAACTCATTGTAAATTATTCTTAGTGAAGCCTAATAATAATATACTCATCAATTGTATATATCGGCTAATAATTTAAATATGCAACTACTAATAAATATTACAAGATAAAATATCTTTTACATGTAATTTATATACTCATTTCATAAAATATGTAATATTATGGGTGGTTTAGCATCTTCAATGTTAAAAAGAGATATGAGCAAATTATAATTTAATCTTAAAAATTGTTTACCCTACCAGTACCAATCATTCACCATATTATGTCTTCTTCCTCTGTTTCCTCTTTAGATTCATTTTTACTTTTGGCAACCCTTTCACATTAACCTCTTCCCTTGTCACCTCACATCTCACGAATGGCAGCCCCAGATTCCACCATTTCTTCCCTCAAATCCCGCATTGTTTTGCCTTCAACTTCTTAAACAAGAAATCTCCTTAAAACAACCCAATCACGTAAGAACTCACCAGAAAATTCTTCACTAATCTATGCACATATGTTGTGTACATCATATCAAAAGAAATTGTCACTTAAACCAACACTGCATCTTTATATAATTCACCTAAAATGAAAAAATCCTCATTATTTTGAATGATAGTCATACATTATTTTTATACAATTTTTGCTTCCTTGTAAGACATTCTCTTCTACTAGAACTACTTTTTTTTTTTAAATTACCATTTGGCAACATGAGAGTACACAATGATATAAATATACGTTGTAAACAGGTGCTAAATGCAAAATTATTTCCGTCGTGAGCTTTTACACAAATGAATTTAGCCATTTACTGCAGAAGACACAGCAGCAGTAAGGTAGCACAAAATTGGCCATGTTATTCACTTGTGAATTCACTCATTCTTTAAATTGCCTGGGAACTGCATTAACAAGTGATTTCACGTTTCAAGTTAACTATTTGGTAAGACTCTTGCTTGCCAATTTTCGAAGAAATTCATTTCATCACTATATAGTGATAAATAGCCATATGGGTTTGAGATCACGGCAAAATTGACGGAATATACATTCCTAAATTGTTACAGCATGATGCTCCAAATGCGCAGAGGCAAAACATTCTCCTAGACATAACCATTAGGCTTTGGTCCTCTTGCATTTCTTTTCCTATTGTCAGCATCATAATGTAATAAGGCAGCATTCAGAGCCTGCATCAAATTTATCCTTACCTTTTAATCCTCCATAAGATGCAATAAACACATAGGAAGGATATCACAAAAAACCAAAGAAAATAAACAACAAAGGCATGGCCACCCATTACATCGGACTGGATAAAAACATCAATCACTGGACGCAAAGTGAAAGATACATGTTTACAATAATAATGAAGCAGCACAAAAAAATGAAGACAAATAGTTAAGGTAAATGGTAAATGGTAATGACAAACAACCACCAAGCCTTAGTGCACTAAGAGGAGTTGGATGCATAGATCAATTGATGGAGTTGGGCTTTTCACAAAACAAATTTTCAATTCCTTTTAATGAAATTTTAATCAGACTATCATCAATTTGATCTTCTCACATGAAAAAATAGGAGGAACCAACAAGATGGTGGTCAACATCACAATATGCTGTTGAGAAAATCTTATTAACACCAACAAAACAAACTCCAAAAGGTTTATTTCAAAGTAGGTGATTTCATCAATTAGGAAGAGATTTGTGTAAGAGTTAAATCCAAGTTTGAAAAGGAAGCAATTCCAACTCAGCTTCTTAAAAATATATATTAAGAGGCACTCAGTACCCAAGGGTCAGGTCATAAACAATGCTGCCATTACAGTATATTTATTTCCTGAAAAGATCAATGCTAAATGAAAATGAATACAACCAGTCACATTCCAGATAATGTCAATTCATGCAAAATAAAGCAAATCAGGAAAACAATTTAGATTGGAGTTGTGGCCACACTAGAATGCCAACATTATCAAGATTTTAAGCAAAGCCCACTAAGTGGAGTATGAGTACATCAAAAATAGGAAAAGGATGAGTCAATGTTGCATGCATGGGGTATGATACTACCACTCTGGTATCCAGATATCGCAACTTGCTAAAATTGAGGGTACAGGTACATTAGTACATTTTAATAATATAAATAGAATAAAATAAAGAATATAAAATATCTGTAAATTGTTGCTAAACTAGAATAATATAAGAAATTAACAAACTCAAATCTCAAGCAAGGTGAAAGGGTTTAATTAAGTAGAGGAAAAAAAAAACATGGGAAAATTGAGAGAAAGGTGTAAAAAAACCCTAAATTTAACATAAACTAGCTAGTGCCTGAGGTGTACCTAACCTAACTATAGCCCAAGCCAAACCTAGCCTCATTAAAGTCAGACTCATGTTGCATACAATCTTGTTAAAAGAAAACCAAAAAGTGTCCAATGTGTACTAAATACAGATACAGCTTACATACCGAAGGGCCCACGCTAAATTGAGGATACAATTTGAGTAACCTCAATACTCCAAATTACACCTAGATTGAGGAATTGTGAAACTTCATACAATTGAAAATGGCAAGGTAAAATAACATACTGTGCCCAAAATGATATATCTGATCAACCTAAGGTTGAAACTTGAAAGTATGGAGAGAAACTTCATATATTATTGTAACCTGGATGTGTTTATACACAAAACTAAGTTGTCACTCTAATAACAATAAAGTGCGTGGAAGAGGTTCACCAAAAAGCAAAGCAAGGAAGAAACATAGAATGAAGGCAAACCAAAAAATATATAATCGGTTGAAATCAAGTATGAATTGAACCCCACATGAAATGAAATATGAGTAAGTTAGGGATTTATAAAAAGATGGACCCATGTACCCATAGCCCGGTTTTGAAATTGTATTATGGTGTCCTACTCATTGTAAGACTTCCTACCTAAATACTCCTCAATCCAACAATAGTATCAGAGCTTATCGATTTAGGTGACTGGCTCAAACAAGTAGATGAACCGCGATCAAGTGAGTCAACGGTGTGGATTTATGGTCAGTGTAAGAAGTGCACCGTAGAGGAAACGGTGACACTAGATGATCCATGTGTAGAGGGTGTAAAGTCCAAAAAGTGTCGTTAAGTGGACAACAGCCCACCACGTGTAGACCATAGATACTCGTAATGGAGAAAACTTATGCTGTGGAGAGAGCCAACACGAATAGATAGGTTCATACTTGAGGGAAAGTATTGGAATCAAGTGTGAATTGAGCCCACATGAAATGGGATATAAGTAAGTTAGGAATTTATAAGGATATGAATTCATGTACCCATTGTCTTAAGGTTTTGGAGTTGCATTATGGTGTCTTACTTATTGTAAGGCTCCCTACCTAAATACTCCCCAACCCAATAGAATCTTTTGAGAATAATTTTCTTTATTCAATTTGCGATAAAGGGGTTATGTGATTGGTAGAGATAGCATATTTTGTTTCAATAGTGTTTCAATACAAACAATGTTATGAGAAAAGCAATGCAAAAGACACTTGACAAACCATGTGGAAGCGGAGAACATGTTGAAGGACAATGGCTGATCCAAAGCAATTTGAAATACACACACATTTGCAGTATAATGGCAAAATATGTATGGAAAACATGTTGAAGGACAATGAGCCTGATTGACAATTTAAATACACACCAAAATGAAGGGGGGAAAAACATTTCAACAACAACCACCAAGCCTTATACCACTAAGTGGGGAAAAAAATATTTGTTAATTCCTAGAAAACAATTCTTGGACAAAAAGGTAAAATATATCTGGAAGAGTGGTTAGAAAATGTTTAAAGCAATGACTATCACACAGCTTGTTTATACTATTATTAAGTCAGGAAGTATGTAAAGAAAAAAAAAATGACTCTGTGTATCTACATTTGATTTAAATTAAAGGCTTAATTGTACTTCTAATCCCTATATTTTAATTTGTGAGATTTTAGTCCTTCTAATAACTGCTGGTATTGTGTCCTTAGTTTCCTAATTATTCACATTAACTCCTTACTCCAAAATCTTGTCCAATAATTAAAAAATATATAAATAACAAAAGTGTAACATATTGCTTTGTATAAATTAATAAAGAAAATGTGAAAAATATTTAAATAAAAATAATAATAATAAAATGTATAAATATAATTATTTTATTTTATTTAATTATTTTACATACTTTTTTGTTTGAAAATTTGTATGAATTAATTATATACTTGTTATCTTTTTTATTAAGGTTTAATTTCATTTTCAATTCCTTTAGTTTGGCATATGTGCAATTTTGGTACCCTTAGCTTTTCTGAGTTAATTAAGCACCTCTTTTTTAATATTGGGCAAATTTAGTCCCTTTTGTTGATTTTCTTCTACATGAAATACTCATTCTCATTTTTTTACTCAAAATCTGAATAAATTAAGTTTAAAAAAAAGTCTTAAATCTTCTCCTTAAAACACACCATACCAAAAATCAAATTTTAGTCAAAATGTATAAAAAAAAATCAATTTTTTTCTTCTTCAACCCTTAATTTCATATTTTAATTTGTTTCTTAAACCTTGTTAAAATGGAAATAAATTTCTTACATTTAAACATTTAAATATTTCATATAATACATTTGTCAAAAATCACTCAAATATTTAGACAACAAATAATAATTTGTTGGTTTTAAGTAGAATCAAATCAATGGAGAGACTAAAATTGCAGAGTTTTAAAGCAAAGGAACCAAAATCACACACAGACCGAACTAAAGGAACCAAAAATGCAAATAAGCTTTTTGTTAATTATTGGATGAAATTTTGGTAGGTATGAGGAACTCAATTTGAACAATTAAAAAATTATGAAGACTAAATGGGAGTAAAAGATAGAGATTAAAATCACACATGCTAAAATATGACTAAAAGTACAATTAAGCCCTAAATTAAAGTATCTCATAAATTTAATCTCCTTCAAATCAACGGAAAACAACCTTATTTTATTTCCATAAGCTTATTTTTCCTTTATTTAGGATGCAGGATATGCAACAATTTATGAAGATCACATACAAATAATGAAACAGCCAAATTAGTAGTTGTGCTCACCTGCTGCATAGGATGGACAACAAGGGAAACTTGGTGCCGCAGGTCTGACTGTGCAGATACCTTTATTTCCTAGGAATCAACAAATAAAAATAGAAACACTTTAGTGGTTTCAACATATAAAACTAATGCAGGTATCCACATAAAGACAAACAAGTTAGTGCAGTGAGGAATACCAGTGGAGCCTTTGGCTAAATACAAACCTCAAGTTTAGAATATATTTGTGATATGGCATCTTTCAGTCTTTTTGTCTGCGTTTAACAGATAGGTGAACAAAATATCAGATATAATAAAATAAAATTCAGAAATATTTTTACTAGAATCACTAAAAATATATCTACAACGTAACACATGTACAATCCACATTACCACCCATGGCACATAGAAGGAAAATTCCCCTCAACTCATCCAATGTCTTAGCTGGTTAATCAACTGTGTCATTGATAAACTTGTAGAGATGGGAAAAGAAAAGAAGATTTGTGGAAACATTGGACGCAAAAGACAGTTCATGGTCTCTCAGACCCATTTAGGAATCAATGAAGATCAAGAACTCATTTGAAATAGATTAATTATATTGCTGTTCTGATTATAAAACATCAAGCTTTGGCCCAGACTTAACTGCTCAGAGTGGTTCCTTACATCAAAGATTCTTACTTTGACCCTTAGAGCAAATAATTTACAGCTTGATCCATGATAAGTTTACAAGATCTATAGATGGAAGTTGAATAGCTACGATCATCTTGAAATAAATGAGCTTTTCATGTGAAGGGGCATGTTCGAGATGTAAAAAGAATTATTGGACACTTGATTTAAAAGCAAACTCCAATGGGATAAATGGTTTTTTAACAAATGCACATAATATTGAACCCCACATCACTATCTTCTCTCATATCAAATCCACCAATACCAATTAAAGCCAACATAACAGTTTGTTTAATCAAGCAAAGTTTTGACAAAACTGGTATACAATGACTTATCATGCAAGCAACTAGAAACATCTAGCAATATAAACCATAACAATATATTATCATGAAGTGAATATGCAGATTTTGAAAATGAAACAGGAAGAGAGATAGGCAGGATGGAAGAAAAGGGATGGTAATGATAAAATCCATGATAAAAATAAATGACATATGAAACTTGCATCCCAGACTCATTAAATTCTAGTGGTACAATATTAGATAGGTAATGCATGGCAAGAAGCATTGAAAGATCTTACTGAAATCACAAAAGCTTGACATATACCTTATTAATAAGGTTTTGTGTTGTAACTGGATATGAAGACCAAAAGTGCCTCAGCAGTTCTTGACTGCATACCCAATGCTGGAAGGAAGGAAGAGTGTAATGCAAAAATATAAATAGAAAATTCAGAATTACCCAAAGAACAATACAAAGATTATTGAAAGCTAAACTACTGCTTCAATATAAAAGCAACATGTCACCCTCTCAACACATATATAGAAGTTCAGAAGATTATTCCCTACTCTCTTTTTCTTTTCCTTTCCATCCATTTTGTTTTTGTTTTCCATTTTTTCCTTCTTAAAGACATCAGAACAATTGGGGTTGACTCACATCTAGTAGTTTCTCCTTAGTTGTACTGGGCAATATATCAAGGACACTCTCCTGAGAACTTTTCCCATGATGGGATTTGGTGCTTGAGATATTTTTGGTCAATCCACTAAGAACCTGGAAAAAAATGGGTTTCATTTTCAATAGGAGAGAATGTTCATTAATATGAAAAACAAGTAAAAAGTTGTCTCAGTAAACTATTGAGCATTTAACCATATACATTTGTCAATCATTCAAAATATTTGACTTTTTTGTGCTAATTGTAAGAACTATGTGATACAAATATATTACCTTAAGAGAAACCTCAGGACTAAATAGAGGATCCCTTAATCCATTAGCTTTGATCTTAGATATAGATGCTCTCATAGAGCCATAGGCTTCCTCAGCACCCAAACTGCATCGTATTTGCTCCATTCCAGCTTGGGAATCATCCAAAGCCTTTACGGCATTAGCTTGCTGGGAATCAAAATAGTCACGGGGATCCTGATCAAGAAAAAAAATGAATTAATAATTTATGAATTTTAAAACTCAAGTTATTCACTTGAAATATGAGTAATATAATAATAATAATTCGTTTAATTCTTGAGACAAAGTTGGACCTTGATACAGAGTGGTGCATATGGATGATTATCTTGTGCCTGAAGATCCTCAATCTGGGTCATCTTAGAAATTCTGTTTCGTCGCTCCTCCTCTATAACCCCATCAGATTCTGTATAGTGAAATCAAATAAGAATTTTCTTCACATGAAATAACAGAAAAAAGGACAAGAAAGAAGTCAGCCACACTAACCCTGTTTTCTTCGAGCAAGAACTTCTGCTACTGTTCTTGGGTGTTCCAACTCCATATCTACATTTATATTTCAAAATCTGACTCATCAGAGCAGATCATTTGGACATATTTAAGTTGCACTAATCCAAATTTGAATGCTTTCTACTCTCAATTGATTTTAGGACAAATTGGTGAAGGGCAAATGCTTCTAAAATTACAGCCAAGGAAACAATTACAGCCAATAAAATTTCTCAACACAAAGAACCAGAAGAGTTTAAGAAGGCAGAGATTGTCCAGTTCACAACATGATTCCTCACAACCACTAAGAGATCTTGCCAGAATCATTGAATGATTTTTAAGAGAACTAAAAATCAGGCCAAAGATATGACCTTATTCTATGAAGTAATAATACAAGCAGTGAAGGTGAATAATGTGTCAGCATGTGTATGTGATGGAGTTTCTCCCCCTTCACTTTGCATTTGATCCCCATTTCAGGGAAGAAATAATTAAAAACTAAATTTAATATGGCTATAGGAGTAAAGCAAATTGATGGGGACCCAAAAGGCAATGTTGGGCCAGAGGAAATGTTAGTCCAGGAAGCAGTTACACGGCCCAAAGAATGGCTTGTCTATGTGAGGAGAAAGAAGAAATCAGAAAATGACAAATGAAATGCTGAGCTGGCAGAGTTAGGGAGAAAGAATAATATTCCATTATTTAGACATGATGAGGCAGGGGTAGGGGGTTATGATGATTCTGTTCTTTTGGTATTGCATGATAGAGCAGCAATTGCTCTATATTAGGAGCATAGCTCTGGGGTATTAGGAGATATTGCTCTCCTAGTGCATTTTATTCTGTTTGTCCGTTACTTGTTATGAATAATATTCTTCCTATATTTGCAGCCCTTTATTCGTTTCTGTTCTCTATATTTGTATTTGTGTTTGTGTGGTTTGTATCACAAATTAATCATTAGGTAATAATTTAATTATGACGTGCAGCCAAAAAACCTTTTTTGGTGTGCCTGCAGTTACATTCAAGATATAAAAAATATAGAGAACATATAATGTGAAAAAAATGGTAGACATAGAATAAAGCCAATATGACAACAAAATTTAATAATGAAATTACGAAACAAAAATCACTGAGACACAAAATATCAAATTGAAGAGAGAGATACCTAAATTTTTTCCTTCAAGAACAACTGCACCTTGTCTGTTAAGATCTTGCAACAATGTTCTCTTACACATAGGATGTTGTACTTCAGATATTTCCTTGCTACCATCACGGAAGATCCCATGATCCTTCTCATCAAATAGAGCAAAAGGTTAAGATGCAGAAATTCAATACAGACCTAGCAGATTGACCAAAAAAAATACAGACCTTGCACATCTGAACCTGCAGCATAGATAAATAACCTAACTACTAAATGATCAGCAGCATGAAATATGGATGAGTTATACATATAACTCATTTTATACCATATGAGAAAAAAAAATTATGAGAGGCTACTGCAAAACAAGAATAGAAAATAAAATAGCCCCTAACAGTAAAAACAAGGACTGACAACCAAGACAAGCTAATCAACATCGATAACTGCTTTTCAAACCAAGAAATCCCTCCAATGTAGTCCTTAGCTAACAGCATAATGATTGATCAAGGGAGGGTTAAGACCATGAGAGGAAGAGGAAAGGTGATCCCTAATCCACCAGTTGCAGAACCTGAAGCCACAATGATCCCCAAATATGAAAGAAACTAAAGGAGGAAAGAAGCATACCAATGTGAGACAATTTCCAGGGACTAGAGTGAGTTGAAATTTATCAAACCAGTCATTAGAGGGCAACATCGAAAGAGATTAAGAATCTGGCTATCAATATTGGTGAAATATATAGATGTTAGCATAACCTGTGTTATTTATTAACATTCATTATATTGCATGGTTGTGCTATATTGTATAACAGGCCATAGCTATATACTATCCACTCTTAGCAACCCATGTAAATAAAATAATGCAAGGGTGCAGATCATTTACATATTCATGTTAAGGAGATTTATGATTTATCTCTGGGTTTATTCCCTCTATATTTCTTCAGTAATAATAGCCAAGGGACCAAACCCAGGGCTACCTTACCTCAGTGAATCCTTGCACTTGTTTATTTTAGCATAAGCACTTCATAGCTTTGATTTTTTCTCTAGACATCCTCTCATCATCACTGACACGTGGGCAGAGAAAGAGAAGGTTGACAGCTGGGTGTTTTCCATAGTTTGAGGCAGAGGCTCAAGGAACAAGTCAGTTGGGATGACACTGTCAATGATGGGAAGAGGAGGAGACCAGTCACAGCCTCAAAGTGGAGACCAGTCACAGCCTCAAAGTAACACAATAAAAAATGCCACCCTTACATATATATTCACAAAAAGGGTTCTCTCTCTGGTGCTCTCAATCTTTTCCTTTTGCTATCACGACGAATATAAGTCACATTCCTAAGGCTTGCTATAAGGACTTAACTAAAATAAATAATAAATAATTCACATAACTATAATCATGCTACCAGAATAGACTGCTAATTATCCTCTTACCAAAAGTGTTTAGCAAATGTAATAACTGATGCTAGTACTATTTAATTAAAAAGAATGATTATAAGCTGCAATTGAAACATTACTTTTAAAAAGGTGATATTTGCATAAAATATGAAAATCAAACAACAACATAACCTCCTATATGAGATTGAAGAATAGTTTCATTCACCATACAGGAAGATGAGTGTAATCGTCTCCTTGGTCTGCTTCCATGTCTAATGTTGGATCAACCCGTCGAACCTGCAAACAGACAAAATAAAATAATGCCAATAGAATTGAAAATGCAACAAACAATCTTCAATACTAAAACAAGACAAAGACCTTCTTTCGAGCTTCAATTTCTAATATCTCATCATCTTTCAAAAAAACAGCAAGATCCTCATCTTCAGCAGCCTCAGCAGCTGCTGCAACAGCATTTTTGGTACTATGGAGATACTCAGCTTTGAAGTATTTATTCCAGAAATCCACCTCATTCATCTTGAATTTGGCGACCATGGGGAAAATATAATTTCAGTAAGCAAAGTGAAGAATTATTTAACATATTATAAATAATTATCATAGATAATAACACTTCATTGATGCCCAACATACCTTACTAGGTACAAAATTGATAAATGCCTGGTGGACAGCAGGTTTGAGGGCAAAAATCTGGAATGACAACAATGCAAAGAAAGTAAGGACATAAAAGGAACCACAAACCAGTCCCAACCCACGAGACAAAACTGAAAACAGAGCCACCACAACTACCTCAAACATTAACAAGAAAACATTCTCAAAGTAACTTCTTTATTAAAACTTAAAGGAAGAGTCTACCTTTGAAACTAAAAATAAGCTTACAACAACCCTCCCTATAGAAGTCAACTTCAATAAAATCCTTTTGAAGCAATTGTTTGTTGTGGTGACAAATCTTGGAATTTCCTTTTCAATATTCTTATTTGTTCTGTGGGTCCTTGGATGAACAAACACCTTAATATCCTTACTTGACAAATTAACCAATTCTAACACCCCCAAAAGATCATGGCTACTTCTACTGTGCTCCAGCCAAAAAGGGGAGCGTTCATGCTCCTGGTCTTAATAGTCATTGACATAGTATTAAATAAAAAATGATCAACATAAATTACCAAGACTTGTATAACAAGTAACTTAGATAACTTTTCAAAAGTTATAATTGAATACCTTAGGGTCTGTGGCTGTGGTGGCTCGATTTGATGGTTGGCTGGCGGTGGTGAGAAAAGGAAGGTCTGTGGTGGTTGGCAGTGATTATTGGTTTTGGACACTGGGTTCTGCAAGGAGGTGGCTGATGTGTTTGGAGGCATGAGGTGGTCTCAGGTTGTGCAAGTTGGTGGTTTCATGGATGACAATGAGGGGGTGCATTGACTCATCTGTGGTTGCTTAAGGAGGTGGTTCCGATGCAATGTCTTTTTAATGCATCATCGGTTTAACATTGGTACTTTGTATTCTCAATTTCAAAATTAACTAAACCAGCCCTCCCCAAAAGCAAATGTAATACCTGATCTTTTTTATATTACTTGTGTTGATAGAAAGAAAAGGGGTAATACAAAAAAAAAAAGGAAGAATAAGGACTATTATGCAATTTTAACTACTCAAAGTCCTATATAATAAATAAAGAATACACAAACAACAATCAAGTCATATTCCACGAGGTAGGGTCAGTTAGATGGATCACACGACACTATTAAAATTAGTCAAAAACCAAATTTCCAAAAATATTATTTACCACTAGATCTGTTTGAATAATTTGTTCTAAATCTCTTCAGAATCTCTCTGTCTCTTGTTACAATGACCAAAGCACCTTAAAAAATGTGGTTTTGTCCAATAACTCACGTAAACAATCAATTCTTATCTTGTTATTTCTCGTAAGACCACTCATTCATCTTAACATTCTGATTTTTGCTACTCCTACATTTTTCTTGTGTTGTTCCTTTAAGGCCCAACATCTATTACCATATAGGATATATGATGGTATAACAGTTCTTTAAAACTTTACTTTTAGTTTGGTGATGATCATATAACAATATTTTAAAACTTTTCTTTTAGTTTGATAGATACTTTACAGTCACACATAACTCTAGATGTCTTTTCTATTTTAACCATCCGCCTTATACGCTATGAGTAACATCTTTATTAATTTTTCTATCATTTTGTAAAATTGATCCCAAATGCCTAAACTTGGAGATTTGTGATATAATGCATCCCTAATTTTAACTTCCAATGCATGATCCTTATCTTGTTTTATGCTAAAATTGCAATACATATACTTTATTTTATTTTTGCTCAAACAAAAACCCTTAGATTCCAAAGTCTCCCTCCATAACTCAAGTTTAGAGTTAATATGTTCTTTTAATTCCTCAATCAAGACATTATCCGCAAAGAGTATGCACTTAGGGATAATCATATGAAAAAAAAAAACCATCAAGTGCTTCCATCATTGGAACATACTAAAAAAAAAAAAAAAAACAAAGATAAGAAAAAAGATGAAGAAAAAGAGAAAAAAAATAAAGGAAAATAGGAAGGTCTATTGTATTAGCAAAAGTTAGAGAAAGACAAGAGCACCACAACCACGAGTACCAAAAGTTAGAGGATTCCATCACCAATCTTTTTGATTCTGAGTTGGATGACCAAAGATGTAAGGGATTTAGAATTCCATTTTCAACATCTTACTTGATTTGTGCAATTTCGTTCATTGTCTTTATTATTTTGGTTATGACAAACTAGGATTTAAAAACGGGAAGCACATTTCTCATGAAGAAATTGTGTATTTTCTATTAGTGAATTAAGTTATTAGTTTTATAATTAGAGAGATTATGAGGATTGAAGAAATTTGACTACTTGAGAAAGTTAAAAAATATGAACACAAAGTGTGTGATAAAAATCCATACATCAAATCATTAGATAAATTGAGATTTAGGAGTAGATTATAATAGTAGGCATTAAAATTTGTAAAGTGCGAATAACTTGAGCTACAAAAATTGATTTTTAGTGAAATAAATTTTGTTTGAAATCTTGTTTGGTGTAGAATTGGACTGGAAAAATTTTAGAATTATTCTTGAGTAAAAATTTTAATTATAAAATTTGGCAATCCTGTTATGAATTCTGATGAGTTAGTCTACTTTAGACAAACATAAGGAGTTTGACGTGAAACTAATTTTGTTTGAAATCTTATGCATAATAGTTTAATTATGAAAATTTTTAGAATTTATTGTCAACTACGAAATTCCCAGTAATTTCATGAAGTTGATTGTTCTGTCTTATACTCCGAAACAGACGAGACTATTTTAAATGCTCATAACTTGAGTTAGGACAACTATTTCTAAGTGAAACAAATGGTGTTTGAAAGATAATAAGTTATAGATTTATTATGTCAAGTTCTGGTATTTTTAATCAAGGATTGCTCCTGGTGCATAAAAATGCAAAACATAGCTATTGTGAATTCTGATATAGATAAGTCTATTTTGAAGGATTATAACCTGGGCAAGAAAACTCCATTTTGTGTGATATAAAGCTTGAAAAATCTTGTTTCTCTTAGTTCTTTTTTCAATTTATATTGAGAATGATGCATTTGTAAAGTGTTGAAGTTGTGGTAACAAAGCAAAGAAATATAGAATGAAATTTTTGAAATGTAATATGTGGAATACATGACTTGTGGTTATCTGAGATTTCTTTGAATGCAATGTTTGGTGAGTTTTATATTAGAACATCTGCTGCCAGAGCAAACAGAATAAACAACTTAATTCCCCTTTTACCAAAGCAAAGAGAACAAATGACATAATCTGCTTTCATAGTGAAGAGAATAAATAGCTTAACCCACTTTTGTGAAAGCTTACAAGAATAAATGGCATAATCCACTTGCCATAGTGAAGAGAATAAATAGCTTAATCCATTTTAGCCAAAACAAAGAGAATAAATGACATAATATGTTTGCTATAGCAAAGAGAATAGTCATAGATAGCCTGAGTTCACAGTATATATTTTTTCACACTGATGAATGAACAGACACTTAAGGGAACTATTGGTGAACGGACTCTTTGACCTCCTTGCAATATTACAGGGTGAACAGACCCTTTAACTATAATGAGCATGTTATATTTGATGGGTGTGATTAATCTTTAGTTTAGACTTATATAGTTCTTCATGTGTAACCTTTTTATGGTATATATGCTACGGGAAATTCATTAATCTTTGGACTATGGCAAATTTAAACGAGTGCTTAAATATTATACTTTAGTAAAGATTATGGTTGAAATGAGTGTTACGAGAAAATAATGAGGTATCTAATGATTTGAATGTTTACATGTATGTGTGTTTGGGGATCACCTCACTGAGTCTCAGTAGACTCACCCATTTTGTTTACTCATTTAGTTATAAGTAAAGATCAAATAAACAAAACAAGTGATGTCTGCAAATGCTATTGCTGCTGCTAGGACTTATCTTACAATACAGAAAAATATAGTGACGTGAAGAATATTATACCATTCCAACTTTATTTTTAACATTCTATTGATTTTTGTGGTATTGCTATAAACACTGGTATAAATGGTTTTGTGTTGGAAAGTTATTATTCATGAAGACTTGTAAATTGGGAGGAAATGATAGGCTTCAAATTAGGGAAGACAACTCTAATTCTATCAGGTCATGGGTGCTAGATCTGGACCATAACAGCAAAGAAACCCTAAGTGCATTTCTTTTTGTAAACGTGATCCTTCTGGTTTCCACAATTCTCGCTTACTTATTTATGCATTGTAATTTTGAAAGTTAATGTGGTAACAACCAATGGGGTGCAAGTATAACCAGCTGAAACAGTTCAAACAGGGAAATGGAAAATGATTCCCTTATATTGAGGACAAATTCAATTAAAATTAAAAAGAAAAAAGGAAAACATGTTATTGGGAAGCCTAATGTCAGATGCATAACAATATCACCACTGCCTTTTGTTAACTAACTATTTTTTGCCTCATTTACATTTGATATCAATATGATGAACTAAGTACAAGCACATGAAGCCACAAGAAAACACTCATAAAGGACGAGAAAACTTAAACATATGCTACAAATGATTGTAAAAAAAACCATGTGCATGAAAAGATGGCCATGATGTCGTATTTAAGCAGATGTTTTCATCATGCTAAAATCCCATGCATAATCTCTTGTTTTTGTTGAATTTGGACTTTAAGCCTAACTAAACCTTAAAAGCTAGCTTGTAAGGTAAATATTGTTTTAACCTTTATAAGCTCTTTTTTAGCTATATCTATAGTTGATTTGAGACTTCAACACGCCTCCTCACACTCAAGATTAGACATCTAGAGCGGGAAAATTGTAGGACTGTTTTTACTTTTATTTATGTTTTTTTATTCAAATATAGCACTAGATAAGTCTTAGGACCTTGTAGGTAGCACTGGGAAAGTCATAGGACCAAGTAAGTTACACTTGGATACTCAAAGGGGCTAGGTTAATTGCAGTGGAAAAATTCATGAGGCCAAACTTTTTTCTTCCCCAGCAATGGTGACCCAATATCGGATCTACGATAGCCTTTGATACCATGTTGAATTTGGCCTTTAAGTCTAACTCAACCCTTAAAGCTAATTCGTAAGGTAAGTATTGTTTTAAGCTTTATAAGCTCTTATTTAGCCATATTTATAGTCGATGTGAAACTTCAAAAGTTTTAAATAGATATTTGTAAACCCACCACTGCCAGATTGTTGTATTAGTGCATAACAGCATAAACCAAACCAAATTTACACCCACGGATAAGCAAATATCACAATTAAAAGCCAAATTTAGCTCAATTTGGATAAATTTATCAATAAGTAGTTAAGAGTCAAAAATTAAGTAGAATGAATTAAACTCCTCTCATAAGTTAAAATCAACTTATACTTCTTGATTTTTTAGAAGCTACTTTCATTTAAAGTTTCTAAAACTTAAAGATATAAGTTGTTTTTAACTTATGAGAGAAGTTTTATTCTCTTATAAGGACTTATCCACAAGTTCATCCAAACTAAACCTTTATTTACCCAGCTAATGTTTATCTATCCACCTTTGAAAGAAAAAACTATTTTTATTTATTTTTCCACTTAGAAGTTCAAGACAATATTAATTACTACCTTTTCAATTATGCCCTTATCTCTACACAATTCTTAAATTGTGACACGCTTATCAAAGATAAGGCACCAATGCAGAAGAGGAAGAAGTAATAGTGGGGTTCATATTAGAAGTCAAAAATAATTTTACTATACACAAGGAAATTAATTGCATTCCTTAATTTATGTATTATCCTCTTAAGTGAACAGGTAAAAAAAAGCAGAGGGGGCGCCTTAAATTTTAGTATTGACATTTGTAGCAAAGGAAAGCTTCAAAGTATTCAAGATTTAGCTAAAGGGGAGAGTTAGAAATAGAGCATGCCTGATATTTTATCTCTGGTGTCAATTGAAATTTAACCTGGTTTATCTGAAAAAACACAAGGGAAAATAAGTCTGTTAAAATCACATAGGCCAGCATCTGAAGCTAAAAAAAATCTAGAAACTATTAAAAGATCCTAAACATGTTTAAAATGGTTCAAAAAGCTGAGTTCTGCACACTATAACAAAAAACCATAATTCTTTTGTGTATTTGAGGAAATGCTAAGCTGCAGCATACAGACAGTTAAATATACGATGTTCTCATATGACATCCAAGTATGCAGAGACACGTCTATGTGCAATCATAAAGATAGGGCACCAATTCAGAAGAGGAAGGAGAAGCAGTAGCAAACCCGTCCATCACTCGTAGGCTTTGTGTCGAAGATCAAAGAATTTTTAAAACCAATCCGTTGTTTTGACTTTCTGCTTTCATCTTGATCTAGCAATCTCTGTAAAATATTTTTTAAAATGAAAATTTGAAAATTCATTAAGATGAAGAGAAGAAACTTACAAGGAAATTGGAGACTGAGAATCCACCATACAAAAGCAAAGATTAAACATCAGTAGAGAAAAGCTGCACAACGGCTCTAAATATTTATTATGGAAACACCTTTATGAGACCATGTCATTCACAAAATATTTGATTTGCAAAATTAATTCACGGATTGCATTTCACCAATAAAAATTCTTTCAATCACCATAGTACCAACCAAAAACCATCATCAGCAACATATAATGAACAACCTAAACCCTAAATTTCAAATGATCTTTGCAGACCAGAACAAACTACTAAAAACATTGCAGCACATCATGTTATATTCAGAATATTTTACCTTTTTTGTAGCCCAAAATTCTGATTCTGTAAGCTTACCATTAGACACAAGTTCCCTATGAAGCTTCTGCAACTTGCTGCAAAAGTAGGACTTCAGCAAAATTAATAACATTGAGGGAAGTGAACAAAGATAATCTTATAGTAAATAAAACTTAACTTCAAAATCTTATCAGTTACATACTAAGAAAAAAAGATCCTTAGCCAAACACGTCACCTTCTAAACAATTTCTTTTCCCACACAAACCGAAAAATATGCCATCTCAGAAACAAATATTTATTATCATTGTGTTGCCTGCTAACTGCAGGAAAAAAGCTGCAGAACAAAAATTTTGAAAAATGAAACACTTATCTCCCTCCCCATACACTCCCAAACCTATCGTCACCATCCTCCCATCCATAACCCTTCTCGCCTCTGCAAATTCACTGTTTCACCATAGGTTGCACCGCAAAAGTTCCTCTTCAAGCTTGGATCCTCAGCTGCCACCAATCCCTTGATTATTATGTCTTCCTCATCTCCAACCCTAACCTTTGTATATTGCTAATCCTCTTCTCCCTCCCTCACCCAACACTTCCTAATTCCTATGCCTCTTGCATTAATTCCTACTCTTCTTATCCAGTTCTGCATGGTGTTTATGCAATAATCAGATGTGATGATTGGCCCAAACGGAGAGCGGGTTAAGGGCATATAGTTAGAATGTTTCACTGTCATTTGTGGGTTTTTTATTTTATTTTATTTTATTTTTTAAAAAAATCCATATACACAGAGCCATGGAGAGGAGGAAGCTACTTGAAGAGAAAACAATTTTGAGGACAATAGTTGGTACCACACTCTTGTCTCTACCTTTCACTTTTTTATTAATTTGAAAAACTAATGGCTTATTTAGAATTTTTCAGTAGCATGGTTGCTGGATTTCTTTCTTATTCTCCTTCTGCAGTATTTGTAGGAAATCAAAGGTTCTAGCTGTTATCTTTCTTATGGAGGAAGATCTATCTTCTCAAGGTAATATTAAATTGACTTGTGCTTCTAGCTGTTATCTAGCTTTTTGAATTTTCTTTTTCACTTTCCAATGAACTATTTTATGCAGTAAAATTAATTTCTTTCTGCTAATACTTTCTGCATTATGTTCTTTAGGCCTACATTGATTTAGACCATGCTCATCAAGAAATAATGCGCTTGAAATCCTTCAAGTTCTTAATCTTCTCTCTACATTATCTTATGTGGGTTGATTGTTCTACTGCTTCCCTTTGTCTAAGACCTTTATTATATCATATTGCACCTAGAAAGTGTATACACAGTTAGAAGCTTTGAAAATTTAGCAACAAATCCTTGCAGTTCATACACCAGCTCAGCTCAATGTCCTTTTGATAGCATGCCACTTGTGGCCAAAGGAAGGAAGGAAGCACATTGTAGGTGGCTTATAAAAAAGGTATGCACCCTGCTGTTTCTGTTCATCAACAGGGGTATTTTACATACTGGGGACTCTAGAATTTTTAGTTAATCTGTTGTGGTTGGTTAAAAGGTAATAACAGCAAAAGATTAGAATTATTTTTATGGTAAATATGAATCAAATTCATCCATATGATAATATTTTAATTATATATTAATTTGTTATTCTTGAAAATGCAAAAACTCAACAACTTCTTTCCCAACTTTTGTGAAGTGCAAAGCTTTAGGTTAAGCAGTTGGTGAGAAAATTGGATGTATTAAATAGAAAGGAAATAATAGGTGTCACGCCTGATTAGTTAGCCTCAGTATTGTAAATCACATTGACATTGAAATTTTCTACTCACATTTCAGATTAGAGCCCTTTTGGAAACCTTTTACTTTTCCAAGGGATATGCTATATATATTTTTTCATATATATTTTTTCTTTTGAACAAAGAGAAAAAGAAATAGGCCCAATGCTTATTAAGTCTTAGTAATTGTAAATCCCATTAGATTTTAAATTTTCTACCCGCGTATCAAGTTAGAGGCTTAGAGCCTTTTTGCAAACCTTTTTATTTATAAGGAAATGATGGATTTTTTATTTTATTTTATCTTTTTGAACAAAGACAAATTTGGAGATACAGGGAACAAAGACAACATTTATGAAAGAAAAGGAACTCACAAGCTGTGATAGTTTGATGCTAATGTTATGTCATTTTATCATTATTTTTTTCTAGATATATATGTTGTTTAGCAAAACTTGAGGTTTACAGATCAAAAGAAATCAAATTGGACACTAAATAGTAGATTCTGTTTGTGCCCATGGAGACTTAAGAGTCATTTTTCTGCACAATATATTGGAATTTAACTTGTTCAACATGTCAAAATTCAACACATTAAGACACTTTGAGTATTCTAATAGGAACTTTTTGCTTTTGATTGAGGATCAATTAGAGGATAATGCACACAGTCTGCATATTATACATGCTACTTTCTAGGAAGCAGACAAAGGCATCTGCTTTCTCACCATATGTGAAGTTGATGAATATTGAAAGTTGAGATGCATATTTTTTTCTAGAGCATTTCAAATTTTTCTAAAGCCTATTCTAACTTTCAGCACAGCTCAACCTGTTGTATTGTTGAAAAATGCTTATCTCAGGCTTATGGAGATTAAAATTATACAATATTCACGACTGTGTAATTGGATAGCAAGAGGAGATTAAGAATTACACCAAATTCATTTGGGTTTGTATTTGGACAACAGTTGGAGATTAAGAAGTATCATTACTGTTGGAAAATGCTTATCTCAATCAAGCCTATGCTTATGCTTAGCTTGCAGTTTATTAATCATTATTGTTCTAAACTAGATGGGATTGTAAGCCTGTTCTCTAACTGTCAGCATAGTTCAAACACATGTTGATAAATATTTAGATGGGATTGTTGTATAGGTACACAAATGTTAAGAAGACAATTATTATTATTATCATCATCATCATCATCATCATTATTATTGTTATTTTTATTGATATTATTATTATTATTATTAAGGAGTTTAATTTTCTTGAAACATCAAAATGTCAAGCTCTCAATTTTCACCATGATCTTTTTTTACTTTCCTCATTTTTTTGAAGTATTAATGTATGCTCATCCGTAAATCATACAAGTTTTGATATAATCTTCTGAAATATTTTATTTACAGAACATTTTTATGGAACTCCTTTTGATATTTATATAAAAGGTAAAATTTATATTATATCACTGCTTATTTTATTGTAATTTTAAAAGAGATATGTTACTCTAAATCTTATTAGTTTTTTTATAATTAAATTCAATTTTTTACCTTTATATATACTATTAAAATAAACATATCATGTATATTTAATTTTAACCTTTGCAGTAGCACAGGTATCTTACAAGTTATATGAATAAAGATTAAAATGGGATCCTGAGTTAATTATTACCGCATGACATTCTGAGCCAGAGTAAACTAAAAATGGATAATTTTAAAGTGGCAGCACAATACCAAAGAGATCTTGATCTAAATGGTGTCTGAAAAGTTAGCTTACATTTGCAACAGAATTTGAGCCATAATGCAGTATCGTCTTTTAAAATAATTGTAGTGTTATTATAAACAACGTACCTATCTTCTTGCAATAGCTTAATTCTGAGTGTCATTTCAGCAGCACTCAGCTGTTCCTCAGAAATAACTTTTGTAGCTTCTCCATGCTTGCTAAGAGCAACACCTTCTCAAACAGATCAAAAAACTCAATAGGGAAGCATATATAAATCAATTGAAAACAAAAATAATAAAAATGAAATAATGAAAGGGAATAGAAGAAAAATCATGATAATTCAGAATCTCTTTTGGTGATGTAACATTTTCTTATCTGGCATATGCATTGGAGAGGGAAACAAATATATAATCGAGCACATCTGAAATCATATTTTTAATTACATTGTTTTTTAATTGTTTAAACATGTTTAATTGAAAAAAAAATCTATCAAATTAAACTCTAACTCGATTACTCTGAGACTTAAGCCCATGATCAAACATGTAAACAACATAGCAGCACCTCGTCCTAAGCTACAGCATGCGACAAACCCTTGGAATAAAATTTTAAACAGAAAGAAACAACAAAATCATATTTCATTTGGCAGTTACCCACCAAAGTAAGGAACTTACCCACCAATTCCCGGCAAACATGAAGATCTGGAAAACTTTCTAACTCAAAGATGTAACTTCCCTGGAAAATAATTTTGTAATATCATAAAAGTTCATTTAAAGGAGACATAACCAAAGGCATTGACAATTCAAATGAGCAGTGCTCAAACATAAATAGTGAAAGAAATGTTAACAGAAGCTTGATTTAAAAGACAACCTGCGCATGGGTAAGGTTGAGCCATGGTGGTTTGTTTGATCCCTCTTTAGTGTGTTTATGACCTAATTTTGTTCAGAAAAGCAAAAAAATAAAATAAAATAAAATTCAGACAGTGAGGCTTCTATAGTTTTCAGATGATTCTAGAAGTTCTCGCAAATTAATCTTTTAATCAATTTACTGATTAACAAAAAAACCATAATTACTCTTTATAAATCTGAACTCCACATCGAGCTTGTTGCCTGAGGTAGGATCATTGGGCCTGAAAGCGAGCTTTTCTCGTGTCTGCAGAAAGGAAATAAGAAACGATTCTAAGAGAATCGCAACATCATAGAAGAAAAGATTAAACAAAATGAGAATGTGAATGCACCAATTTGAGGACGCCGGGGGTGCCAGGGTCTTTGACAGTGGCTTTGTATTTGGCACGCTTAACCACTTGCCCCGACGACATCGTAAAGAATTTCGATCGCGCAAACGGTTCAGAGATTAATCTGAAACAAAAACCCAATCCAAACTCAGAACCAGAACCATGGACTTCACCATAGAGTGGTATTGGAGAAAGAAATTATACTCTGACGATGCAAAGCGGAGAGAGTGAGGGCTTCGCGAAATATTAACAGTGACACTTTGTTAGCATTGAAGAGTAAAATAGAAAGGATTGATGAAGAATTGAAGGAAAAAGAGATGAAATGTTAGTGAAATAATAGGTACAGTCTACGCTGAGTATGGCATCAAATGAGGCATGAGTTTGCAGTCATTAAATATATCAGTAAATATTATTTTAGTTTCTACATGAAACTAGTTTTTTTATTTGGTCCTTGGTTTGTAAATAAATTTTTTAACGAAAAAATATTTTTTTTAAATAGTCAATGTTAATTTCTGATAAAAATCGTTATCTTATGGCTAATATATTTTTTATTTTTATCTGTATACCTAATATATTTTATTACATTTTCTCTCTCTATATATATAATGTAGTTATTTTTTAATTTTTGTATAAAAATTTAATTATAAGGATCAAAATAAAAATAAATAAATTTTATGAAGAAACTAAAATTAAAAAAATGCATACAGAGGTAAAAAAAAAATTTCGTCATCAAACACAAGTCAATAAAAAATGTTTTGACGAGTCATGATAGATTATAAAAAATAATTTAATAATTTTGTATAATATCATTGTAGTTTATTGAAATTGTGAAATTTTTTATGAGAATATAATATTTAAAATTTAGGTAAAAATTATTTTATTTTTATTCAATAAAAAATTATAAAAAAAATACAAACTAATTTTTAATTGTTAAAGTTTTTTTTTATTTAAAAAGATGGTGACACCTTTTAAATTTTATTCTTTTATCTTATAAACTAAAATCTATAATTTTAATTTTTTTTTCATACTTTTAAGTGTATTGAATTACTTATTTTTTGAACAAATATACATACAATCCTTTAAGTATTGGTATTTAAGTAAAATTATATTTTTACCTTAATTAACTAATACAATAAATGCTATTATTAAAAGATGATATTAATCTCAAAGATAAAAAATAAAATTGTTAAATATTAATAATTTATTAAGGACAAATTTAGAGTAAAGAATGCTTTAACACGTTACAATTCTAAAGAGAATTAACAATACATGTTAAGAGATCATTAATCTAATTCACATATACAATCGATCTTCTTAAATGCCCTTCTAAAAGCTACTTTCAAGATACATATCCTAAACATTTAGTTCAAGCTTTTATCCCTTCATAGAATTGTTTTTCATAAATTTAGATCGAGCTCGTAGTTGGAGTCGTGCTTCTTCCTCCTCGCCTTACGAAATACACTCTTAACATTAATTCTTTCCGCTTCTTCCTTTTCACCTTGTTAAGTGCATTTCTAACATTAATTTTTTCTTACACCACTTGTAACGCCCCAAATTTTAGTAATATTATTATTATTATATATATGTATATTATATATATATATATATATATATATTCACATGTGTATTGATTTATTTGATAATGATGTTTATGTGTATTAAGTACATGAATATGTGTATTTATGTGTATGCATGACTGGATAGGGCGAAAATGGGCTAAGTGCTTAAGTGCAGGACGAGATACTGGGCTGTTTTCGCTACAGCAAGAGGACCTTGGGAGGAAGGATTGAAACTGTCACCTTCTCGCTGTAGCGAGAAAGCGACAATTTGAGGTGCATTTCTGGGAGTAATCTCGCTGTAGCGAGAGGGTCTCGTTGTAGCGAGAGGGTCTCGCTGTAGCAAGATTCTGCAGAAATCAAAATGTAGTTTTCTCTGGTTTTTTCGCTGTAGCGAGAGGGCATGTCGCTGCAGTGAGAATATCTTGATGTAGCGAGAGTGTCGCGACCAGAAAACCAGAAAAGGATTTAAAGGGGGTTAGGGTTCGGGAGAATTATTTCTCCCTCTCCCTTCGATTCTCTCATTCCCCAAAGCCCGTTTCCACCGATTAATTGCCTCCAAAGCCGTTTGGGAGCAAGATTGGAGCTCGGATTTGTGTGGGGAACGCTTGAAGGTGAGTTTTAAACGGTTAGGATTTTCGTTTTCCTTCCCTTTCTCTGTTCTTGGTGATTTTCGGGGTTCTTATGGAATTCTTCTATGTGTTTAGGCCGAAAACCGTGTGGGGAGCATTTCCGTGGCTAAGTTCAGATGTGGGTCTTCAATTCAAGGTAAGGGGAGACTCTACCCTACTCCTTTATGTGTGATTTGCTACTATTTTGTGTGATATTATGATGTGACTGAGTAGAGGGTAGGAAATTGCTGAGATATGTGGTGTAGGTACTTGTGCTGTTTATACATGTGTGTATATCTGAATGTATATTGTGAACATATGGGCCCGAGGGCTGTGTAATATGAATGGAAATAGGCTAGGGGTCGTGTGTCTTGAATGAATTATGGGCTATGTGTTGTGTGTGCTGTGAAAATGAAATGTGAGCCTAGTGTCGTAATTGTTAAATGTGGGTTGTGTCGTATACTGAAATGTGTGTGACTGGGGCGTGTAACGCCATTGTAATGTGCTGTGAATGGTTCAGCGATACACTAGGAGTGTGAGAGATGAGGATGGCAGAAATACCTTGGGGAAGAGGAAGTAGTGGTGACACCGACTGGGAACAGGTGCACCACAGGCCATACACTTTCTTCCTGACTAGACCTCTGACTATTACCTTTGTTGAGCGACCTGTGACTGCCCACGTGATATCCGTGAGGTGGGGGTAACCGGTGACCATTCATGGTGTAAATCTGTGATCACAGTGTCAATGTGAGTGTGGCTGGCGTGCATATGCATGGGTTCATGAATTGTACTTATAGATGTGATAATGTTGCCTGTACTTGTATTTGTTTAATGTATTGGGAATGTGCTGAAGGTGAGACTCTATGCTTAATTGTATGTTTTGGTAGTGTAGAGTACTCACCCTTACATTCATTTTTCAGGTAATCAAGACGATCAGCACCGGACTCAATGAAAGAGGTGGATGAAACTGCTATAGAACTAAGATTTTAATTTGAAACTAATGTATTTGAATGGGTCCTGTAGTAGTGACTTGATAGAAATTGTAACTCCTTTCCTTATTTTAAAATATTTGATGAAATTTGGATTAAAAATGAAAGTTTTATTATTTCAAAAATTTGTAAAATTCCTTATTTATTTAAAATTAAATTTAAGGTGTTACACCACTGCCTCAATAATAACATTGAATTAAAGGGAATCTAGTCCTTGACTCAACATGTGACTAACCTCATTTGACCCATGAAAAGGCCCAATAATTAGGTCATCAGATTCGCCAATAAACTCTTTTTGTGTCACATCCTTGCCTCCTATTGATTCCTTATCAATAATATTCAGTTGCCATAATCCTTCATTAGCTCCTATGTCCTACCAATTTCCTTCTTCATAAATTTTGACCAACAAAGGTTCATATTAGTCAGCCTCTTTTTCAAACGCAACATCACCCAATCGCACAACAAGAAAGTGTATGACTCGTGGTGCACCCGTTCCCCAGTCGGTGTCACCACCACTTCCTCTTTCCCAAGGTATTTCTACCGTCCTCATCTTTCACACCTTCAATGTATCGCTGAACCATTCACAGCACATTACAACGGCGCTAACACGCCTATTCACATACATTTTATTCACACACACAATATTCATGTTTACACACGGCACATAGCCCACATTTGCATTCAAATACACAGCACTAGGCCCACCTTCATTTCACATCACACGGCACGTAGCCAATACTCATTTATATTACACGGCCCTCGGGCTCACATTTGTTCATAATATCATTAATTCACCAATCAATGACATTTCATCACACACAATCACCCCCACGAGGCCTAACTATTCCAACACACATCACATTGCACACCAATTTCCACTCAACACGGAATTTCTACTCCCTATCTCAGCCACATTGCATTAATCAACAAAACACACAAGAATTATAACACATTGAGATAGGGTAGAGTCCCCCCTTACCTTGCATTGAAGACTCACACTCAGATTCGATTACGGACGTGCTCCCTACACAGATTTTGGCCTAAAACACATGGAAGAACTCTATGAGAATCCAAGGAAACCCAGAAATAGAGAAAAGGGTATGAGAAACGAAACCCTAACCATTAAAACTCACCTCCAAGCGTTCCCCACACGGATTCAACCTTCAATCGAGCTCACGAATGACTTTGGAGGCAATTAATCGGTGGAATAGGGCTTTGGGAACGAGAGGATCAAAGGAATTTCAAAGGAAGATGGAGAAATAACTCTCCCCAAACCCTAACCCCCTTTAAATCATTTTCTGGTCGCGATACTCTCGCTACAGCGAGATATTCTCGCTGCAGCAAGGTCCCCTCGCTGCAGTGAAAATATTAGTTGAAACTGCACCCTGATTTCTGCAGAATTTCGCTACAGCGAGGCTGCACCCAGAAATGCACCCCAAACTATCGCTCTCTCGCTACAGCGAGATGTCTCTCGTTTCAGCGAGAAGGTGACAGTTTCAGTCCTTCCTTCCAGGGCCCTCTCGCTACAGCGAAAATCCTCTCGCTGCAGCGAGAACAGCCTAGAATTACAACCTGCACTTAGGCACTTAGTCCATTTCAGCTATATCCAGTTATGCATACACACATTCATATACTTAATACACATAAACATCAGTATCAAGTAAATCAACACACACATATATATGCATTTAGATTTATATAAATAACAATAATTAATATTACAAAATTTGGGGCGTTATAACCACACCATTAGGTTTCAAATAAATTATTAAAAGATTTCTAGTAGGTCAGTAAGTTTTAGCCATTAGACATGAATCTAACTGATTTTTAGATTTTGCTAAAACATTTTATTTAGTGGTGTCAAAATGATAGCAATTTAGATTGTTGCGTGAACTTAAATTTGTATGCTTGACATGTGTACTAATTGATTTTTGTTCCAAGTTATGAAAATAACTTTTGAGCTTATAATCTTGATCATATAACCAAGAAGCTTTTAGTACTATTTGTTTAATTACTAGCAAGAAGGTCATGAAGGATTTCTTAGTTTTAAACTATACATGTATTTGGTCGTTATGTACAATTGTTTACAAATAGTTCTTTGA